GCTTCAGCCCCGGCCTCCGCGGCCCCGCCGCCCGGCTCCCAGGCGTCTGCCAAAGTAGTGAGGACCAGGAAGAGCCAAGCGAGGGGGTGGCCGGGAGGCAGCACGTCACCTGGCTCCTCCAGGGCCAGGCATCCCTGACCTCCGTGGTGCGGCCTCTGCACCTGTAAAGCGAAGTTAATGATACCTTCCGTGCGTGCAGGATGCTTGTGAGAATCAAAGTGTGTATGAGGACGCCTCTTAAAATACAAAAGCGACAGGTAGCTCACTCTGACCCCTTCTAAAATAACATAACCCCTACAGGATTTCATATCTTGTGAAAATTATCTTTTTCCTTATCCTGCTTTTATGTGTACTCATTTATATAATATTGTGGCACTGTGGTATGCCTGCCAATATTTCCTAGAGACCGAGAGCAGGATAATTAGATTCTGGTTCCGGCCTTAATTTATCTAACCACTCTATTATGTATTGCTAATCAGAAAAAAAATATTTTTTAATTCTTTTTTAGTGCGCTTTTTAAAAAATGTATTTTTATCTGCATTGGTGGTTTGCTATGGGTGTTGGGTCCCCTGGAACAGAAATTACAGACTATTGTGAGCTGCCATGTGGGTACTGGGAACTGGACGTGGGTCCTCTGGAAGAGCAGTTACTGCTCTTAACCTCTGAGCCATCTCTCCTGAAAAAAAAAAATTTTTTTTTTATACAAATAGTGCTTTGAGCTGGAGAAATCGCTCAGAGATTAAGGGCACTAGCTACTCTTCCAGAGGTGCTGAATTCAATTCCCAGCAACCACATGGCAGCTCACAACCTTCTATAATGAGATCTGGTGCCCTCTTCTGGCAGCAGGCATACATGCAGGCAGAACAGTGTATTACTATAAATAAATAAACCAAAATATCTTTAAAAACGTTTATCTTTATTTTATGTATCAATGTTTTGCCTGCTTGTATGTCTGTGTACCACGAGTGCGCCGTGTCCATGGAGGCCAGAAGAGAGCATTGCATCCCCTAGAACTGGAGTTACAGATTGTGGTGAATGTAGGTGCTGAGAGCTGAATCCTGATCCTATGCAAGGATCTTAACTCCTAACCACTGAGGCATCTCTTCAGCCACTAAAAATAAAATGTTGAGCAGGGCGATAGTGATGCTCACCTTTAACCCTAGTGCTCAGGAGGTGTGGTCTACAGAATGAGTTCCAGGGCTACAGAGAGAAACACTGTCTCAAAACACAAAACAAAACAAAAACAAAATAACAACTATAGACTGTTTTATTTAGTTTTTCTTTTTTGTTTTTAAGATTCACTTATTATGTACAGTGTTCTGCCTATATGCATTCCTGCGGGCCAGAAGAGGGCACCAGATCTCATTACAGATGGTTGTGAGTCACTGTATGGTTGCTGGGAATTTAACTTAGGTCCTCTGGAAAAGCACGCAGTTCTCTTAACTCCTGAGCCATCTCTCCAGCCCTATAAAAATGTTTTTTTTAAATGTAAAAGAAAAATATTACAAACAATGTGCAGTGTGTGTGTGTGTGTGTGTGTGAGAGAGAGAGAGAGAGAGAGAGAGAGAGAGAGAAATTCTGGAGGTAAATGTGGTGCCACACAGTTATAATTCCAACTTGCAAATTAGAGACATGAGCTGACTTGCAAGTAAGAGATAGGAGGGTCAGGAGTTCAAGGCCTGCCTGGTCTATGCACCCACCCCAACAAGCAGAAAATTTCATTCATGAAACTTTGTTTTATGAACAAAATTATTCATGCCATGTCTATAAAGTACATAAAACATATGACATAAGTTAATTTTGTTTATGAGTAGAAATAAAAGGATCAGACGCAAGTTTTTGAAAAATATGAGTTGGGCAGCGGTAGTGCACACCTTTAATCCCAGCACTTGGGAGGCAGAGGCAGGTGGATTTCTGTGAGTTTGAGGCCAGCCTGGGCTACAGAGTGAGTTCCAGGACAATTAGAGCTGTTACACAGAGACACTCTGTTTCAAAAAACAAAACAAAATTATGAGAGAAAAGTCACATCTTAGCTAGGATGAATTTATGCCAGGGATGAATAATTTACCCAACATGAGAGAGATATAAAGAAAGCATAAACACTCAACGGGGCATGGTGGCAGAGAGCAAGTTCCAGGTCAGAGGGAGACAGTGAGATAAAGAAACAAACAAACGCTAACAAAAGAACAGCCCACTTTTTAAATATATAATATAATAATAATCTCAATTAAAATTGAGCAATTATTTTTAAAAATCTGGTCATGGTGCTGTGTGCCTTTATTCCCTGCATTAGAATAGAGGCAGAGTTGAAAATTTTTAATCAGTTTAAATTTTTGTTGTTGTTTTCTTGAGACAGGGTTTCTCTGTGTAGCTTTGGAGACTATCCTGCAATTCCCTCTGGAGATCAGGCTGGTTTTAACTCAGAGATCTACCTGCCTCGACACCCACTCCCCCCACCCAGGCCTGGGATTAAAGGGTGAATACCACCATCACCCAGATAATTAGTTTAAAATAGTTTTTTTTAAAGATTTATTTATTATGTATACAGTGTTCTGTCTGTCTGTATGCTTGCTGGTCAGAAGAGGGCACCAGATCTCATTATAAATGGTTGTGAGCCACCATGTGGTTGCTGGGAATTGAACTCAGGACCTCTGGAGGAGCAGTCAGTGTTCTTAAGCTCTGAGCCATCTCTCTAGCCCCCTAGTTTAAAATATTTTTATACAGGGTTTTATGTAACCCAACATGTTTTTTGTTTTTTTTTTTTTTTTTTTTTTTTTTTTGGTACAGGACCTCACTCTGCAGTTAGACTTGGAACTTTGTAGTTCTGCTGGTCTCCAACTTGTAACAATCGTCCTAGTGTAGCCTCTCAAATGCTAGCTAGCACTATAATTGTAAACCACCATTACTGATTTACAACCATTTAAACGTAATAACCAATATTATTTATATAAGCAATAT